TGTTATTGAATTTCCCCTATAAATATACCTGGTAAATATACCTTACCTACCTAATATATTCCATATCCTATATTATTATCAACAGACATTCTAATTATAGCTAAGATTTTATTCTGAAAATACTAAGAAGCCTCTAGATTATTTTCTATAAGGTAACTGGTTTTTTTTTTATAGAAAATGCTAACTGACCTGGGGTCAAGCAGAGGTCTATATAATATTGTTTTTCTAAAAATTATTCATTCATGCTGTAAGATCTCATCAGACCCTATTGTATTATTGTTGTGTTCAGAACATCATTTTTTCTGGAATTCTATTTTTTCAAATTAATTTGTCACTGACAATACAAAATGCTCTTTAAAAATAACATTATTGGAAACAGACTTGAATTAATAGTAAAATTTCATTAAGGATTTATTCTTGGATTGTATTATTGTAATCAAACAAAAGACTGTTGGTACATCACCACTACAAGGTCCACCACAGGCACATCAACACTTTCAGCATTGGATTTAATTTGGATTTTCACTAAAGTTTATTCAAAACTTTAATTATTAGGACTTGTGTCTATAATTCCATGAGCAATTTAAATTTAGTTTGCAATACGATATGTTTTTTAATTTTCACTTTGTATTCAAAGGAAATAAATTATTTGCTGAATTTTAAAAGCTTGTTGCTTCTCACTTTTTCCTATTACTTAAGTATAATAGTTTACATTACAATCAAATATTAGCAACTGTAGGTAACATATGCCTAACTACCCAAAAATATGGCAATTTCTTGAACCTAGCCAAGACTAACTACAAGGGAGACAACTTTCTCCATCTTGAATGAATGGCCACTCACAAAGCTCAAAATTTTTCAATAACTGGGACAAAAGTATCATCTGGAGGTAATTTGTTAACAGTTTCTATTGAAGGTCACAATATTGTAATTAATAAGATTAAAATGACTCCTACATTATACACTTGTCCCAAGTTTAATAAACCTTTGTGTAGATAACTTTTTGTGCACAAGCATGGGAAATTAGGGTAATTCATTAACTTTTCACAATTAGTAATCATCATACATGGGGAATTAGGGTAAACAAAAAAGGTTAGTTCAATTTATTACCTTGTCATTGTGTAACCATCATACATGAAAAAATTAGGGTAGTGCAATTCATTACCTTTTCATTGTGTAAAGCTCATAAATTAAAAATAAAAAGGTGCCATTTATTACCTTTTCATTGTGTAAATATCATACATGAAAAAATAGGTTAGTGCAATTGATTACCTTGTCACTGTGTAAACATTATACATGGGAAAATAGGGTAGTGTGATTCATTACCTTTTCATTGTGTAAACATCATACATTAAAAAAATATTAAGTGCCATTCATTACCTTTTCATTGTATAAATATCATACATGACAAAAATAGGTTAATGCAATTTATTACCTTGTCACTGTGTAAAAATCATACATGGGAACATAGAGTTGTGCGATTCTTTACCTTTTCATATCTGGACTTGGCATTTGGGACCTGATGCCCTTCTCGCACCTTCTTAAAAATGTGTCCATCTGGGGAACGAATCACAGTGTAGGTGGCATTGTGGTCACCTAGAATATACCAACAGTTTGTATAAAATCAGTATCTAAAAACAACTGGTCTGAAAAAATTAATCCATCTAGACAGCTCATCACTGGATATATTTTTCTTCTTTTGAGTAAACTTTATGTTGCAAAAGGTATAAATGTATTGTGAAATCTCTGCATATTTCAGAAAGAATCTACAAAATATCTCCCAATGTTTACCACAAAAAAGGAGCATATAACATTATTCAGCCCATCTGTGAAGGCATTAGTGCATGCATGCATTCACAATGTCACACAACTCCCCATAACCAATGAAGATAGAGACATCAAACTTTGGGATATAAGTGAGGGTTGTCTGTACATGTGCACAACTGTTTTAAAACTATAACTGATCCTTTAAGAGAAAGAGGGATGAGCATGATGGTATTGTACAAACAACCAAAACCAATATTATTAATCTAAACATCTATTCCTTACAATTTTTCAGATACTATAAATTCAATTGAAATTTAACAAAACCAGCCAACATAGGGTAGCTTCTTACTAAAGAGCATAGCATCCAATCATACCTACATAAAATGTTATTATTGTGGGTTTAATGCCATTTTCAGCACATGATACATGGTGGCCTGTACATCTGGTGGACGGTGCCCCTTAGTGGCTGAGTGGTCTAAAGCGCTGTCCGTTACGGATCACTAACATTTTACCTCTGTCTGCGTCTAGGATTTGGCGAATGTGGATATGTGAGAAAGCTTGCCAGTAGCTTCTAGTGGGTCGGTGGTTCTTTCCGGTGATTTCCTGGTTTCTTCCTCCACCATTAATACTGGCCACCATGAATAGCCTATCATGTGCTGAAAAATGGCATTAAGCCCAACAACAACAACATCTGGTGGAAGAAGCACATGGAAAACTCCCAGGGAGAACCATGAATGGGCTACACACAAACTTTCTCACATTCCCATCTTGGTGGAGCCAGTATCTCAAACCCAAGCAGAAAAGGATGAGATGCCAGTGATCTGTACAGGTGAGTACCTTAACTATGCCTTCTGGGTCCTACCTGCATGAAATCATTTCAAATGATCTATCTTGACAAAATTTGAGAATTTACCATCTGCCATGTCTTAAACTGATTGACTGAAAAGACAAAACTACTGCACTGATGACCTGTTTCTCTCCACTCACATTGCTAGTCACATGTCTGTCCAAATCTTGCAGTATACATATCCACTATATTAGTGGTCCAATAATTATGTGATACAATAAAAAAAATCCCATGTTGTTGTATAAAATATTCAAAGATATTAAATTAAAGTCACATTATATTTTATGACAAAAAAAAGCAAATAATTTTCATTATATTAGAGAATCACCACCAGAAACACACTGTTGCAGAAACCTGAAAAAAGCCAGACTCCTCATGTACAGCACATGTCAATGTGGTAGTCACATGATAGCAAAAGGTTCATTGACATGCTCATTGTCAATGAATTAAAGACATAAATATGTTATAGAGGCAATTTTATGAGAAGATAAATCATCTTCCAGTCCATTTCTTGCAGGTAGGGCTCAATGTAATGTCATTAGGTTTGCTAGGCCCGGTATTAAGTGGCTACCTTATGCCAACACTGTGCTCTTTCAACAAATAACAATAGTAACTGTCCCCAACAAAATGCTGCAAGCCAATTTAATTAAAATCAAACAATCATCATTGAAATTTTGCTGTGAAAACCAAGATTAAATGGAGGAATAATTAGCAGGTATGACTTATGTCATATAATACTAGAAATCATTAAAATCATGCTGTGTATCAAATTTGGTTTAATATCTAACATTCCTAGGTATCGTTAAGTGCAGAAATATATATTCTGAGAATAGGCAATCAGGAATAAAATTCTCTAGAAGTCTATCAATAGAAAGATCCCATCCATTAATCTGGCTATAATTTAAAAATTCACAGCATATTTATGATACAGAATCAAATTGTTCAGGACAGAAAGATGGGATGGATGGATGGATGAACATGACTGGTTCCAATGACTTTGCCAAGCAGGACCCTAATTATAATAACTTCCAGTATTTCTGAAAATGGCTATGTGTGATTACTGACCTAAGTGTCAATATGTACATGAGGGGCTTTTAAGCTAGACCTCTGGAGCATGCAGTGTTTCCCCATGGTCATAACATGAAACTAATATTTTACCTCTCTATCTTCTACCTGTACACTATCCCACCCACCACCACTCAACCCTGAGTCATTAAGGACCAGATGTAGCTTGGGAAGAATCAATGAGGGCATGAAAATATGAAGGGCAATTTCTCTCCATTGGCAGATCAACAAGGGCATGAAAATGTGAAGGGCAATTTCTCTCCATTGGCAGATCAACAAGGGCATGAAAATATGCAGGGCAATTTCTCTCCATTGGCAGATCAACAAGGGCATGAAAATATGCAGGGCAATTTCTCTCCATTGGCAGATCAACAAGGGCATGAAAATATGCAGGGCAATTTCTCTCCATTGGCAGATCAACAAGGGCATGAAAATATGCAGGGCAATTTCTCTCCATTGGCAGATCAACAAGGGCATGAAAATATGCAGGGCAATTTCTCTCCATTGGCAGATCAACAAGGGCATGAAAATATGCAGGGCAATTTCACTCCATTAGCAGATCAATGACGGCATGAAAATATGAAGGGCAATTTCACTCCATTGGCAGATTTATAACATAATATTTTCAGACATTCGCATGCAGTGATTCACTTTTTGTTTTTATCAATTCTTCTTTGATAATGTAAGTATTGCAAAAGCATGCAACAAAAACCAGTAAAATTCTGTACTTCAAAACAAAAACATCTCTGGTCAATTTTCCAAAAACATCAGCTGAGATGCACTTCTGTGTTAAGTCAGCACTTCTGTATTACAGACAAGTATATAAGAGCAGTAAGCCCAAGTTTTAGAAGGGTTTTACCTTCATGTCCAAACTCTCTTGTCTGGTACTCCCAGCTGTCAGGCTCATCATCACTGTTGGAAACCTGCAAACATAGAAAATGAGGAAAATCAGTCACCAAAGTAATTTAATTTTTCATTAAAGTGAACCAATTATACTTCAACTATGTAATTTTCTTACGTATAAAGACCTCCATACCAAACTTTTTTCTGGATGAAGGACATGAGAACTAAATCTTTGATTATGATGATGATTTTTAACGTAGCTTTTAACAATTTCTCAGTCATATCGCTATGATGTCTGCTGTGTGGCAGTTTATAGTGATGTCTAGCACTGGGGCATCATGCCGCAGACATATAGCATGATGTCCCACCCAGTCACATTATCCTGACACCAGGCCGACCAGTCCTAACACTAACCTCTTAATGCTGAGCATCAAGTGAGTGAGGCAGCTGTTAGTACCATTTTTGTAAATCTTTGATATGACTTGAGCTGGGATCAAACCCAAGACCTCCTGCATCCAAAGCAGATGCTCTAACCACTAAGCCACCGGAGCAGAAATTATTATATAAATCATACAAGATAAGCCGATTTTCTGAATTAAACTACAAGACTTATTTCCTTTGCAAAAATAGTACTGTTTATTATTGCAAGTAACAGTATGCAGATTTTATTACATATTATATTATATATTATATTAAGTAATACTGTTTATTATAGCAAGAAATATTATGCAGATTTTATTACATATTATATTAAATAGTACTGTTTAACCGTACAGATTTTATTATCTATTATATTAAATAGTACTGTTTATTATAGCAAGAAACAGTACACAGATTTTATTGCATAGCATATTAAATAGTACTGTGTATTATAGCAAGAAACATGCAGATTTTAGTACATATTATATTAAATAGTACTGTTTATTATAGCAAGAAACAGTACACAGATTTTATTGCATAGCATATTAAATAGTACTGTTTATTATAGCAAGAAACAGTACACAGATTTTATTGCATAGCATATTAAATAGTACTGTGTATTATAGCAAGAAACAGTACACAGATTTTATTATCTATTATATTAAATAGTACTGTTTATTATAGCAAGAAACAGTACACAGATTTTATTGCATAGCATATTAAATAGTACTGTGTATTATAGCAAGAAACATGCAGATTTTAGTACATATTATATTAAATAGTACTGTTTATTATAGCAAGAAACAGTACACAGATTTTATTGCATAGCATATTAAATAGTACTGTTTATTATAGCAAGAAACAGTACACAGATTTTATTGCATAGCATATTAAATAGTACTGTGTATTATAGCAAGAAACAGTACACAGATTTTATTGCATAGCATATTAAATAGTACTGTTTATTATAGCAAGAAACAGTACACAGATTTTATTGCATAGCATATTAAATAGTACTGTGTATTATAGCAAGAAACAGTACACAGATTTTATTATCTATTATATTAAATAGTACTGTTTATTATAGCAAGAAACAGTACACAGATTTTATTGCATAGCATATTAAATAGTACTGTTTATTATAGCAAGAAACAGTACACAGATTTTATTGCATAGCATATTAAATAGTACTGTGTATTATAGCAAGAAACAGTACACAGATTTTATTGCATAGCATATTAAATAGTACTGTGTATTATAGCAAGAAACAGTACAGATTTTATTACATATTATATTAAATAGTACTGTTTAACATTACGCAGATTTTATTACATATATTAAATAGTACTGTTTAACAGTATGCAGATTTTATAACATTATAAAAAATAGTAGTTTATTATAGCAAGAAATATTACGCAGATTTTATTAATATTATATTAAATAGTACTGTTTATTATAGCAAGATACAGTACGCAGATTTTATTATATATTTAAATGTGAAATATAAGACAATGGTTTGATAATGTATTTATCGCATCTTTATTTCCTATCTTTGCACAGATTTAAAACATATCCTTATATTTTCACATATGAAAATACAAGAGTTCCCATCATGCCATGAGACTGCTCATCATGTGTTCCTATAGTTGAACTTTCAGCCAGTAAAATGAGCATTCTGTGAGCCTGAGCAATAAAATGAAAATGTGTCATCTTTCTGGAATAGAAATTATTATTTTGCCAAATATATGGACTTGACACCTCTTGTCTTTGCCAAGTTATGTCCCTTTCAACATCCTTGGCAACGACCTTGACAACAACAAAAAAAATTCAGTTTGCTGCAGTTTGCTCAATTGGACTTCTTTTTGTCATCAAACAGGATAAATACAAACTTTTGTTAAAAAGCCAAAATTATTATTTAATGCAGCAGATTAGGTCATCCAAAAGCTAACATTCTCAAACTATTACTATTTCTTTTATTGATTATTTAAAAAATGCAAATGAAATTCAAAACTTACAAAAATAGGGGTAGGGGTAATGTGCTAACTTAATGTTTAGTTTAGGATATAATAAATAAGACTGATAATTCTGTCACATGCTATTTATTCTACCATATAAATAAAACTGATAATTTTGTCACATCCTATTTAATCTACCATATAAATAAGACTGATAATTTTGTCACATCCTATTTAAGCTACCATATAAATAAGACAGATAATTTTGTCACATCCTATTTAATCTACCATATAAACAAGACTGATAATTTTGTCACATGCTATTTAATCTACCATATAAATAAGACTGATAAATTTGTCACATCCTATTTAATCTACCATATAAATAAGACTGATAATTTCGTCACATGCTATTTAATCTATCTTATTAACCTCGTGCTGATCATAAAGTTTGCCAGACAAGAGAGCAGCAAATCCTCTTTTGATGGCTAGCACTTCTCCATCTTCACCCTTAGGATGGTACACATGCTCAATTTCTCCTTGCTGGCTTATTATGAAGGAAAACCTGCAGGGGAGAAAATTACAGTTTTAATATAACATGACATGGTACACTGTAGATCTCCATTTATACATATCAACACAGTATAACAGGGTACATATTGTAAATCCCCTTTATGTATATTAATACAATGACAGGATAAATGCTGTAGAACAGTCCCTTCATACATATCAATAAAACATGACAAGGTACACACAATGTAGATCTCCAATGACATATATTTAATATGGGTACATAATATTTATCTCCCTTGATGCAATTTTTCAATATAAACTGACTGGGTAAATACTACAGAACTCCCTTGATACATATTCAACATGCTAGGGTAGATACTGTAGATTTTTGACATGTATTCATGTGTATTAGATCACCAGTGAGAATGAGTGTGTGACTGGGATTTTTAATGTAGCTTTAACAATTTTTCAGTCATACTGCTATGATGTCTACAGTGTTGCAGTTTATAGTGATGTCCAGCACTGGGGCATCATGCTGCAGGCATGTAGCATTATGTCCCAAACAGTCACATTATCCTGACACCAGGCCGACTAGTCCTGACACAATCCTCTTTATGCTGAGCAACTAGCGAGGTAGCTGTTAGTACCAATTTTAGAAGTTTATGGTATGCCTTGGCCAGGGTTTGAACATGTCACCTCCTGCATCAAAGGCAGACACTCTAACCACTTGGGTCACTGGAGAGGTCCATCACTGAGAAAATAAACAAATCATGTGCTATGGATTGCCCACTCAATCCAGTCTATGTGGCAAAAGGGGCAAACGATCCCACGACATGTAGTGTACATCCATTCATTTTGATGGATTTTCCCCCAAAATAAAATGGAAATCAACTATATATATATATATATATATATATATATATATATATATATATATATATATATATATAGTGGATCAATCACAAATTTTTCCAGCCATAGTAGATCAATACTGTATTCACTTCACAAATCAAAAAAGAAAAAAAGAAACAGATGGGAGAAACTCTGATGCTGTATACCTAGCAATGGCAGGTGTCAATTTCATACCTTTACCTGTAAAAGCTATACAATTGTAACATTTTTTGTAGTTTTTATCAGTGGAATAGCTAGGGATACACAAAAACAAATGTGCAGAACATAGAAAAAAAATGTTTTAAATTTTTTGATGTCTTATGATGTCCATGACAGTCTACATCAGAAAAATTGTAGAGTCACAAGATAGATCCCTCTTAAATGATTGCATGTACATGTACCGGTTGGCGTATACAGATGCATATATTTACATACTATTCTGCATCAAGCAACAACTTTCCCATTCTTTCCCAATAAATGATATTCATAAAAGTGCTTCATGAACTATTAATTTCCCTTTAATCTATATACTATTTGCCTCCTTTAAAGAAATTATTGAAAGCAATAAATACCTTTATCCTAAGACTGAGATACGACTGACTTTTTTAGAGTACACTAATTTTTAAATGTGCCAATCCATTACTACTCAAAAAACAAAATACATTAACACAGCCATAGTCAAACAATGCTTGTTAGTTTTATTTCATCTCAGTCACTTCTATGGTACAAATTCAACTCCAGAAGAAATTATTATCAATTTTGATTAATATCCAAAGACATGTCTTTTATTAAAAATCTGGCCCAAATGACACTAAAACACAGATAAGATGATCAATGACTAGCAGTTTATAATGTAAACTTGTCATGTATTATTGAACTGAAGAATAAAGGAAGAATCTATTTTATTCATCATAATGGACAACTCTGACCAATGACAATATATTTCACTTTGCCTATTAAAGTGAACACTTGCATGCAAAAAAGGTCACTGCAACACTGATTGGACCAATTAAGTCTGCATTGACCCATTTAATTAACCAATGACAGTAAGGAATACCAGAAGTGTAATATGTGCAAGTGATACATGGTGTGATTATTCTCAACTTTAGTGTAGGAAAAACAGCCAACTATCTCTAATCTTACATTAAATTAAATACACTCCACATGAACCATAACAGCCAAAATCTGGCTGTGCAGTCAGGCACAAGCGTTGTGAAGCCAATACCAAAACTGGGTTGCCCTAGGATGCCCAAGACTATACCTTTCTGTCCTTGTGAGATCATTAATTATAATACATTCAGTATGTTACATTATCTTGCATTTCACTTGCTATTTTTTTAAATGTCTTGGTTTAACAGAACAAGCTTTCATCTAACTCTCCTGCCACTATGTATCTGGAACCTTTAATGTAATTAACTTTAATTAAAAATAAAAAAGGCATTTGGAAACATGTCTAAAAAAAAGTTCAAACCACATACTTGCAATGAACTGTCTCAACTTGACTCCCCATCATTACTATGCTAAATATATATAGCAAATACTTAAACATGTTCCAAATATTGGACTTGAGTACGAGTACTTAAACATGTTCCAAATATTGGACTTGAGTACAAGTACTTTAATCCGCAACTCTACATTAGCTCATCTACTTTAAATCACAGTTGCCAATGTAAGAGATATCATCAGACAAAAGTTAGTCCAAAGAGAAAGCAGCCAATAAAATTTCAGCTCTTATGATATATATATATATATATATATATATATATATATAT